AGGCAGCAATAACAAGTCGAGTTAGGACCCTTGGATGGCCTGATAGAAACTCGACCTGCAGGCATGGTTGGTCGTATGATCCACCAGAGGGAACAACACTTGGACTCAAAGAAGTCAATATTTCATTTCAGTAGATCTCGAGCACCATTAGGCGTTCTAACATGAAGGATTAAAGGATAAGAAAGAATCTTTATGGAAATTAATACCGTACATGGGCAAGGACATGTGGCCTCACCTGATTGGTCTACAGCTCATAACCGTCTTTGACAGTCTGGTCACTGAGGTTGTACTATCGAGCCGCTCGGGTAGCTTGGGCAGTAACTCACCCAATTCGGACAGGCTTCTAGAAGCAGGTAATCCACTCCTATAAATATGGGTGGGATATGCAATGTCAGCCATTACATTCACTATTATAAAGATATTCTGTAGTACTTTATCTTCTACACATACTCATTCACTATTATACAGATATCTTTCCCCTGCTGACTGAGCGAGCGCAGTTCCCTAGACAGTGTGCGTCCTAGGTCTCAGTGACCCTAGCCAATCCCATCGGTCAAATCATATTTCAGTGTTCCTGCAACCGAGCGCACGAGCATGTACGCTACCAGCATGGGGGATCGTCTGGTCCACAATAAGTCATTTTCCACGACCAGGGGTGCGGTCAGCGAGCAGACGCGCTGCCCAGCATCCTGGCGCACAATCATCCACCTCACATCAAGGTCGTAGTCGTGTAGGCGTCTCCTGCGACCAGTCGTACAGGGTCGAGCCACAGTAGAGTTGCTAGCGCCCGTGCTGTCGGACTCGAGCCAACGGCCAGTCGCGCGGATCTCGATCCAAACCTTGAACCCTTTGGCCTATTTTTGAGATGTTTGAACCAGTTTTCATGCCGAACAATATTTTTAGCCTATTTGAAGATTCCCCAACATTTTTCACCTGTAAACGAAAGTTCTAAAATTCCATTAATGTTATAAAAATGCTTAATCAAATTAATTTTGATTAAGTTGAAAATTAATTATTTTTTAAAATAATAAGTTAAGTTATTTGTAGAAGATTTGTGCTAAAAATGTAGATTTCGAGCAGTCGAGACTCGAGAGCTGTTCTGAGTGATATCAACTTTTACCATCTACATTTTCATCACCATCTACGAGTACCATGTGGGGGTTCTATACTATGGTTTATTCTCTGTAACCATGTGGTA